CTACCAACCTATCTCGCCTATTTTTTATTGACTTCCATAGAGTCCTCTGTTCTCCTATTCTTTCCAATACCTCTTCATTTCTAACCTTTTCTACCCACGATATCCTCATCATCCGCCTATAACACCACATTTCGAACGCTTCTAACCTTTCCTTTTCCGCCGCTCCCACTGTCTATGTTTCGCACCCGTAAACGCCGTGCTCCAAACATAAACCTTTAACAACCTTTTTCAAAATAAAGTTAATCTAAACGATTAAAATGAAAATTTTTCACTAAACTATATATCGTCATCATAAGGTCGTCAGTCCTAAGACTGATTGGATATGCACTTCCACTTTTTCCTATCCTGAGCTAATCTTCGCATTTTCATAGAACTAGAACATCCCATAGATCTACCTCTACTCCTCTTAATTCCTGTTTCTGCTTCTACTATGACTCTAACTAACCCTTCATATCTCCCTCTGTTTTCTCATTCTTCCTAATATCTCTTCGTTTCTAACCTTCTCTACCTTCATCATGTAACACCACATTTAGATTAGATTAGATAATGTTATCGTTTCTCTCACCATAATAAGGAAGCTTCGAATGAATGGGTATTATGACAAAAGACAAAAGTTGATTAAAATTCATGGCGTCGCGTTACTTTGTATCTGTAACATAAATACTTGCGTAAGGAAGTAACTTTTTATTTCGTTTCTCTGAGCGCATTATAAAAAAATTCCACATCCTTTTTGTTAGAAGTATTAGACACAAACGGCGACTTCGTTTATAACATACTAATGACCTAACGAAGAGTTATCATTTCTTTAAAATAAACGCAAGATTGACAAATCGAGTGAAAGTTGACGTTCCCGGTACGTGATGTCATTTTTTGAATTCGAGGTATTGTGATTTTTATTTTTAAAAAATTGTAAAACGCTTCAAACGATCTTATTATTCAACTAAACAAAAGAGACACCAAATTACTACGTTTTTAATAAGAAAATTAACAACAATGCTCCATTGGCTTATACAAGTTGATCACTTTTTTGAAACAACTTTCGAGGTTTGCCAAAAATTAAAGACTAAGAAATTGTCACTGATTTGGTAAAGTGATCGGTAATATTAAAAATAAGAGGAGATAAGTTAATAGAAAATTTAAGTTCCATGAGCCGGTCCTTATTAAATTCATATAATAGGTACTTGTTTGAGAAAAACATTTTGTACTTTATTTAAAATACTTTTCCAAACGTATTGTCTATTTGTAAAATGCAGAATACATTTTTGCAGTTAAAAGTTTTGTCAGTATCACCGATCAAACATTATATAAAATGATGAAAGAAAGTTGCTCACATTGGCTATTGAACGTATTGGAACTTAAAGAAGGGGACAAAAAGACATTCCATGAATGCCTTCTAATTCTTTAACTGAAGAGAATCCAAAAAGTTCTAAACTCCTTAGAAATGGATAATCTAAAATATTGGATCGATATTGTCTTCCGGGCTCAATGTCATGATCCATGGAATTTTGAAGTTTCAAATTGATATTAGCACCTGCCAAATCAGGTAGGAACTACAAAATTCTATGAATTACGACAAAACAGCCCCCAAAACAATATCCAATTCATATACGCCAGCTGTGTAAATCTGAAAACTACAAGATATTGTGGTGTGCTAATAAATGCGTATAATCCAAAATTCTTAGAAAACTATTCGAAAAACTTCACTTATTAAATGAACCCAAAGCTAAAGAAACTATGGATTCCATTTCTTTCTCTTTTTACAATGTGTAAAAGATCAGAAAGAAAATGGGGTTGTAAATATGTTGGTATAAAATAATTGATGTTGATTTTACATCAATAAAATTATTTGCAACCTAGTTTGTCATCAGTGTTTTTTTTTCAGTTAAAACGGGTGAGAAAGGTAAATAAGGTAGCATATAAAAAAAATATTTGTTGCTGAACTGAAGAACCTATAACATAAATATAAAAAACTATATCTTAATCACTTCAAACAGAAAAATATGAATCATACTCAATCTTTGCAGCTGGTGATATAGTGCTAACACCACTTTTAGTCTAGAAAAATGCCTGCAAGGTTTTCTTAAAAAATATTTTATACTTAAGTAAAACAAAGCTAAATAGGTACTACAAAAAAGTATTTTGAAAATACGTATTTAAAAAGTATTTGTATTTAAATTTTTTTCAAAAACCGTGTTTCGTCCGATGTAACATACCTACGAACCAATAGAACAGATATGTAGGTAAATAATTGGTCCACGGGCCACTGTATGGAAGTATGCATGTTTAAAAGTCAGGAAAATGCATCTGAACGTCTGGTTTAACTATTTAGCCATTAACCATTGTTTCAGTTCTTTAATTATGTAGTTGGAGAAAGAACCATTATATATTAGAGAAATTCGATATCCACTAAACTGCCTACTTATGTAAGTTGCAGTTCTTCTTAAATATTTATAAACAATAGACATTTCGCAGGTTTGATTGCAACGATTTACAAGAAATCCAATTGTAGAAGAACCGGATAATCTAATGTCTTTTACTTGATTAAAAATCTTGAATAAAAACGAAATTGCACCACGACTTTCAAAGAAATTGTGCAGTTGTGCAGCAGTCGTTATATTGCTAAATTAACATACTTTCGCAAAATAGGGAACCTACAAGCAAAAGTATGCCGATTTATTATTGTTAGGTACACTATTTTCATGTACAAGTTCCATGCATTTCGGTAAAAAAAGAAACGAATTATAGTTGAACAAAAGACTTAAATTGCATATATCACAATAAATATTTCGAAAATTAATCTTTTACCTCCAAAATTTGCTTTTTTCCTTTATATTCTGAGAAAGTTACAATTGTTTATGTTTTTGGACAGCAACATATATTCATACGTACAAAATTTCTTAACTAAGTAGGTAAGTGGCTGTAAAAATGGTACAGTTTATAAGCTATTTAGGACCATTTTATGTCCCATAAAATTCAGATAAAAATGTGTCCTAATTATTTTAGCAACATCATATAAGATATAGGTGGAAATTAAGAATTATCCATCATGGAATTTATGTCCAAAGATGTTTGTAAAAAATGCATAATTTTGAATAAAATCATGTAGGCTGATACATGATACGTAACATGTTCTTATTCATCAAGATTACCAATGGCGTGCCGATGAGATCTAATAACAGTTATCCACGCCTTGTAATTTACTGATCAAGAACCTCTACTGTTTTTGTTAATTTTTCTTTCTGCTGGGGTAGATACTGGTGGCATTATTGATATCGTCTTTTCAATATTCTAGGTTAAGTAGGGGGAGATACTTTGTAATTCGTTTTGATGTATTATTAGAGTTCAGTGACTTAATCTGCCAGTATGAAAATACGTTTTGAAAGACCGTATACTATTATTGAATTGAGTAAGAAATATGAAATTTTAACAGGATTATGAAGCTTCCATTTCTTCACACACAAGTTAAGGAAGAAAAAATAAATTAATTTAAAAGTAAAGATGACTCTTATATAAATAGTTTACCTTTAAACAAGTTGGAAAATAAGTAGGTACAATAGATACCAATGGAATATCAGTTTCTTCTCGATGTTTTGTTGGATAGATATTCAACTTTTTCTATTATTGTTTTGCGTGAATTGTAAATCAAGTTCAATGCGCCAATGAATTGTACAGTGTATACACATAAACGTTCTTTCTACAAACTCACTTTCATGAGAAAAAACGTATAGGCATGAAAATGCTTTAAAGAAATTAAATTAACCAAATCTGCTACACCAGAAGAGTACACTTCTTTGTCCTTTCTCCAGAAGGAAAGCCCAAAAACCTGTGATTATTAGTCTGTAAATGCAAAAAGTGATAGGCATCATCTTTGTTAACTGTATAGAAGATTTTATAAAAGAAGGAAATTATTTTTCTCCATAAACACATGTAGTAAAACGTACTATGTAGGTTTTGATGAAACGTAAAAAGATAATTTGTTCGAGTGGAGAAGAAAATGAAAACAATTACAAGTTTTAAAGTAAATTTCTTGCTACAAATATAATTGAATTTGCTCGGAATTGAAAATTATCTACGCTTTTAATTAATTATTATAAAATTTTAGAACAACTTTTCCAGATTCTGAGGAACATGTTACATGGGCGACTTGGTAAAAGTTTGTGGTTTCATGGTGGCTTCCAAATTATCAGAAATTTAGATAAATTATTTAAACGTTTCAATTTTGGGATAAACTGTGAAATAGAATAGATTTATTTCGTATAAAAATACTTTTATTAATTTTTATCTTTTTATTCCTTACAGTCGATTAAACATGTGAATTTAAAACTGCAAATCACTGTAACAAACAGTTATTTGACGAGTTTAAAAAAGTAACGTCTCAATTCAAACTAAGTTCCTAATTTGTTATTCATTTTGAGCCGGTCAAAGAAAAAAAACAAAACGGTAATTCGCAGAATGTGGTCAGTGAGATGAAATTGCATAATTAAAAATTTCTTCACGGTGAATCATTGGAGCAGTATAATATTATCGTCGATCCCTGATTCTAATTTACGTAAGAACTTATAACACCGCAGTTCGAAACCATAGCCGAGCAAAAACCTGATCGCAGATTCGTCATGGAGACCTGCAAAAATAGAGCGGAAAATCATTGAAGTTAGAACAAATCGCAAGGAATTTATTAAACAAGTAATTATGGACAGGCAATGAAAAAGATTCTGCTCTGTCTCTACCCGTAGATAGTCAGTTATTACGTATTAGAGAACGAAACAACTTTTAAAACCGTTCAAATGAGTAAATAAAAGGTGTCGTGCTGGATATAAATAAATGCTATCGAGACGCAGACGCGTTAAATTGAAACGGAAGCGGAAGGCGATATTAATACGGGCAAGTGTCCGCGTGACGGATATTGATTGTTTTTCATATCCTGTGCCATCCATACGCGTGCGCAGCAAACGGACCGAATATAAAACTTCTACGTACTTACTACGGACTGGAACTGTGCTGACCGTGTGAGTGTGGAGGGGAGTTTTCTGTAAATTCTAAACAAAAAGGGAAACCTACAAATCCGTTCTCTTCGGAGTAACAATGCCGTTGCGGACTGTGGCAGTATATATAAGTGGTATCGAGGTTTTTGCATGAGTCGTAAACTCCTCCGCGACTACTAAATAGGTATTAAGTTGTATAATAAATCAATTTACGTAACGGAGTTTCGCTCAAAAACGCGATCATTTTTAACTTAACTGAACACCGAAACGAAAAAAACGGTCCCTTTCTCCGTTCAGCAAACATAGAAATTGGTGGAGTTTAGTCATAGGCCACGATCACGTTTAGTTTCAGTTCTGTTTGTGCTTTTGACTGATTAACATTGTCTTTAGTGTCGGACACGGAGGCCATGCTGTGACTAAAAATGAATCTGAAATTTTCGATCGCCGTTTGTTTTGCGTTTTTCGCAGTGGTGGTTGTAGTTGCGGATGAAACGTCAGTTTCAGAAAGTAACTTGAACAATTCGACTTCGCTAGCGGAACTCGAACGAAATAATCCGGAACTGGACGTCGAAACGAATGCAAATCTGACGTCCGAAGACGATGCGTTGAACGCGAATCGTGACAAACGAACATTAGGAACAATGATTCAAGGTGTGGCGGATTTATTTGGTTATGACCTCCTGAAAAGGCCGTCGGCGGTCAAGGAGCAGCGGACAAGTTGGTTCCCGCCTGTATTATCACCGCTTCCTGTTGAGAGGCAATCGGCATCATCAAAATCGACGATGTTTGCAATCATACCTCAATCAGCCTTGTTTCCACAAGCTCAGCAAGCTGCACCAACCCCCGCTACCATTCACTTACAAGTGCATCAGCAACCCGCGCCGCCAGCCCAAGTGCATATTCAAACAGTTCCAGTGCAACAATCTCAACCACAAGTGCAATTCCAACCTCTGCCTCAACCACAGCAAGTGCTCGTTCAGGCTTCCCAGCCTCAACCACAACAGGTGCTTGCGCAACAACAACAGTCCCAGATACCAATTCAATCTCAAGCTCAGTCCCAGGTTCAAAATCAACAACAAGCGCAGTCGCAAGTTCAACAACAGCCCCAATCTCAAAGTCAATCTCAAATTCAGACGCAACCGCAAACTTCTCTTTGTGTGAATTTCAATACTGCATCCGCTCATCCTTGTCTTCAAGGCAATGCTCTTCCACAAGCTGTTCCTCCTCAACCTCAATCTTCACCCGTACAACCCTGTCTTAATGCCGTTCCAGTAAGTCCTCAAGCAATTGCCCCTTGCCTTCAATCCTCGGCTGTGCAGCCTTGTCTTAATTCACCATCTGAATCTCGACAAGGTGCTCAACCTTGTCTTCAAGCTTCTCCCGTTCAACCCTGCCTTGGTGGGACCCTTGAAACTAGGCAGAGTGCACAGCCTTGTCTTCAAGCTTCCCCTGTTCAACCTTGTCTCAATGGAGAGGCTGCAAGCCGCCAAGCAGTACAACCATGCCTCCAGGCGTCTCCAGTACAACCATGTCTAAATGCCGCTCGCCAGAATTCTCAAGCTGTACAACCTTGCCTTAATGGTGCCCCTGCTAACCCTCAACAACAGCAACAGCCTCAATCCCAAAATCAAGCTCAGTCGCTCGACTCCTCGTCCTCTCAAGACTTCCTCAGCTCTGAATTTGGTAGCTTGAACGCTCTATCACGTCAGCTCAATGCGGGTGCTCTATCTCCATGCGGTAACGCTAACGTTCCCTCTACAAGAGCTTCTGCGCAGCCCTGTCTGAATGCAGCGGCAGCCCAGCCATGCGCAGGCGGTCCTACTGGAGCACAATTGCAGACACCTATTCAGTTTCAGACCGACTTTCTACAGCCAGCGCTTAATTTACAGGCAGGATTGCAATTCCAACCCGAAACTCGACAAGGACTTCAACCTTGCGCCCAATCTGAATCATTTCAGCCTTGCGTCAGCGCCCACGCCGCTTCCGATCAACCCTGCGCTCATGCCGTACCTTTACAGTCAAACTTGAATGCCGCTCCATGTTCAATAAACTTTCAGGCTCTCCAACCACAGCTGCAGTTACCCTTGGCGCCGGCCCGTAGTTTATCAGAAACGGTGAGGAGACTTTTCAACCTGAACTTCTCGTTTAATAGGGGTTTAGGGGCTCAGTCACCTTTAGTTCGACCTCCTCTAGTACTATCCTCAATCAACCGCAAAGCTTCCGCTGTAGTATCACCCTGTTTGAAAGCTGACCCTGTAGCTAAATTTGCTCCTCAACCATCTACACAAAGTACTCCAATTACCCAAATAAATCCCAGTAGCAGTCGATCGTCCCTATTTAATTCTTTGAACACTCTGGAAGATTCCAGGCTTTATCAGCCCAAGTCGGGTCACGACAAAACATTGCAGAAAATTAGTTCCCGACCAAAAATAACAAGTAACGCTCCTAATAACGCACGAAGCTTTACATCGACCAGCAGCAACACCACCACAACTTACACTCTTAAAAACACTCCTAAACTTACTCCCAAACACACCGCTAGCCATCAAGGAGGCGAGCGTCTATCGATCGAAGGTACCATTGCAAGTCTCGAAAGTATACCCATCTCTGATGAACGTGCCCGTGCTTCTCTGAACCTCGGGCCAGCTTCAAGATATGACTCTAGTCCCCTTTTCAACGCTCATCACTCTCCTCAGCAACAATTACGAAACTCAATAAACGATTTCTGGGTAAACAACCCTTCTCGAGAAAGTCGTGGTTATAAGTATATGGTCACCACTAACTTCCCTGATGTCAATGAACTTTATGGAGATGTCAAAGATAAATTGACAGCAACCAAAAGAAGTAATTCAGAAAATGTAGATAGTAACATATCAATGCCACAGTCGTTTCCCGAAAAAGTTTCCTTCTTCCGAATCCCAGCCGTGGATGACGACGAGTTTGTCACCATTGCTCAACAAACAGAAAATGAGATAAATAAAAATAAACAGAGAAGTAGAAACATCAGCACACCGGAATTCCATAAAAAATATCAAAAGACTGAAGTCAGTAATCCTGTCGGCTTAGTTAGAGTAGAAGAAAAATCGAAAAAACTTACAACATTAGCAGTTAGACCCACGGAACCCACAAGAAACCCTAAAAACGAAGCACAAAAGAGGACCTTTGTGACAAACGAAGGTCTCGACCTTTCCAGGTTACGACAAAAATCGGCAAGAATGGGGAAAGATTCCCAATTTCCCCAGCTAACTTATACCAAAGATCCTAGTTTTGACTCCTTAGTTCAATCCATAGAGAGAATTTATAAAACAAAGCAACCTTCATTAGCTGCACATCTCCAGAAAAATGCCACTAACAATTCCACTATTGCTCAAGCTCCCCACAAAACCGAAAATAATAAAAACCTAGGAAGAGGCAATGTTAAATTTCAAGAGCAAGAGCTGAAAAATCCTCAATCTAATAACGCATATCGAAAGGAACCTTCAGTGGTTAAAGTAACTAATCAAACGTATCTCCAAAACGGTAACGTCCCTAACGGAATTCCGAATAAAAACATAAATGCAAACATTCCACAAAGGTCCAATTCCAAGGAAAAAACTGTCATCACACTTCAGCCCAATCAGGTAAACGGTAATAACTCATTGCAACAAGTGCAACCTGCAGTAAACGAAACTATAGATGAACACAAATGGCAGATGGAAAGACAAAAGGCGGAAATTAAAAGACTGCAAAATTGGCCAATGAATGATGGCATACATAGCATAGAAGGATTACACGATGATTACGTCGCTGTGGCCAGAAAATTGGATAGTGAAATTGAACGTCACAAAGTTAACCAAGACTCAGCCGTTCCGGAACATTATGAGAACATTGAAGTCACTGATCCAACAACTAATACCAAAGAAAGAAAAAAAGTCGAAACCCATACCAAAAAGTATCTAGAAAAAATTGAAGATCCCACAACTCATTCGTACGAAGAAAGTACAGAGAAAGTTGAAAAACAAAACGAGAAAGAAAATGAAGAAATTGAAAGTTACGCTAACTTAGAAATGATGTCAAAAGAGCATGAGGCGTTAATAAATAATATTACCATAAAAGATCCGAAATCATCAGATGAACAACAAGCTGTCCAAAAAGTACAAACTGTACAAAAACCACTACCAGCAGCAAAATCAGTTACTAAGCTTCCTCATCAGGTAGAACTTATTAAAACACCAACAACTGGAATTCTAACAACGACTCAAAGAAATGACTTCGTTGTAACGTTGAAAGACATTCAACCAAACAAAGCAGTTTTGTTTGATTACAAAAAATGGGACCTGCCCGATGGTTTGTTGAAAGGTAAAACACCCATTAACCAGAAGCAAGCGGTTGAGACAGTTACACAAGTATCAAAAGTCGCTGAACCAGGAAAACTAGCAAAACCAGCAAAATTTGTAATACAGCAGGTTGACAAAAACACTGACTTCGAAATAATGTCGACAACGCCAAGAAATACGTTTTCTATTAAATCAATCGAAAATTTAGTGAAAGATAAAGATTCGTTTGATTTCGCCAACTGGGAAAACAAACTAGATCCCCGTTCCAAAGAAAATTATCACAGCAAAGAAAATCAAAGGGGTTCATACGAAAATCCGTCATCTTTAGAAAATTACCAATCGAGTTTTGAAAAGAGCCAAGAGACTCACTCCAAAGAAAATAATTATCCCAGTTGGGGTAGAAAGACAAACTCCCAACAACGACCTGAGCACCTAAACAGATACAGAGGTAGTCAAAAATTTGCTCCGCCTGGAAAAAGCTATAGTTTCAAATTGACCGACAAACCAAATTCTCGAGAACGAACAAAAAGCTCTGAATCCAAATACAACGCGGATATGATGTCTTTGGAACAACCCAGATCAATTGAAAGTGACGAAGATGAAGAAATCGAGCCTTTATCGTACGAATATACGGCCAAATTCGAACCAATGGCAGCCTCCGAAGCAAAACAACAGTCCAAAGCACTAAATGACCCTACTAACAAACCTGTCGCTCACTATCGCACAACACCACCAGAATATCGCAATGCTTTAACAAACACAAAAAATTCTAATAAAAATGAAAGTAAACCTGTTCCACAGGTACTCGGCAGTAACTTTAGAGCCACCAATTTGCCTGTCCGTCACAGTACGTTCGCGAATTATCCAACCACTTTGTCCGACTATGGATACGGTCGACTACAAGACAACGATTATGCAACGACCAGTCTATATCACAGGAGACCGTCCACTTCATCATATAATTCTAATAATTACAGGTCTACAGAAAGAATACGACAACGTCCACAGACGGAAAGAGATTTTGATTATTCCAAGGAATACAAGGAGTCACCGTCGCCAGTATCTCTAGAAACTGATTATTTCAAATCGTTAGACGATTATGAAGCCGATCCACCGCCAAAATCTTACTATAATTACAAGACTATTCCAGACGATTACAACGTTTACAAACCTCCCAAACAGGAGGAAGCTGTTCAAAACAATGAAGATGCTCAGGATGTCAACAGGAATAACCATCGAAGGGTAAGCAGACGACCTGCGAAATACAACATCACTGTCGGAGGTCCTGACGAATCAGCTCCAAAAATACATCAAATCAATAGAAATCTAGCAATAAATGACAGAAGTAGAAGAATAAGGCAAAGAAATGCTAATTATTTGCAGGAGAAGCCTAAATGGAGCGTGGAACATGGGACGAACATTGGAATAAACGAAACTCCAAAAGTAAGTACAGAAAATCCTCACAGAAGAAGAAGACAACCGAAAAAAGAGAGAAGTACAATTGCAAGTGATGTAAATAATGTTCCCCAACGTAGACGTGTTTCACGAAGGCCATCGCGTCAACAGGGTATTCAGCATCAATCTCAACAGGAACAACCCCCTCTTACAACAACTGATGCTTCAAATTCTTTCATAGCAGGCAGCACACCAGCTCAACTGAATGAACCGGAAATAGGAGAGCAATTGATGTTCCGTCCGTTGCCATTTGACATTGAAACTTTGGCCTCAGAGAAAAAAACGACTGTGGTAAAGTATGATCTGGGAGATATAAAGAGAAAAACGAAAAAAGTTACAAAGTACGACATCAAGAGCCAAAAAAGGGCGAAAAGACATACCCACAGTGAGGAAATGCTTGACGACGAAGAAAAGGAAAGGAGGAGAAGGAGGAGGAATAAGAAAAAACGTCCCGCTTATTATGATGAGAAAGAATTCGAAAAAGAACGGAACAAAGATGTTCGTACCCTCGATTATTCGGGGAGGAGACCTCGACGCAGAAAATCGAGAAGGGGTGGTAGTGGAAGATCATTTTCGGACGTGGTGGATGGATTTTTCGATTCCGACGAAGAGAAACCGTTCTCGAACGGAGGAAGCGAGGGCGTGCTCGATAAACTAAGTCAAATAAAAGTGCCGAAAGCGAAGCCCGTAGATTATTCCCAATTTGAGAAGTTTAACGTCCAAGATGACGAGCAGGGACTGTCACCGAAGGCTTACGTTAAGTCAAAGGAGAGCAAAACAGCTTATGTAACTACCGTTAGATATTAATTTAATTAGTATTGTTGTTGTTCGTAGAAGTTGTTGATTTGTTTTTTGTAATGCTATTATTTAATCGTAGAAATAAAATTTATTAAACACTTAACCCACGTTTGTTTTTTTCAGATTTTTGGGATTAATTTCTAACCAGAAGCGCTGAGTGGGCCGGAATATTTGCTTACCATTTCCTATTGTAACTAAATTTCAGACGAAAAAAGCAAAGATGGGTATGCGTTTGTAGACGTAATTAAACAAAAAAATCAATGTATATTTACGATCTTTGCTGTGAACGAAAACAGATCAGCTTACACTAAAAAATGCACTTTAAATTTATTTTAGTGTTTTATTTTGTTTCCATACGAAAATAAGGTATCGAAGTGCCAATTATGCAATTTCGAATAGTAAAAGCACTTTGGGTGTACACAATATAAAAGAAAATAACGAAACTGTTGCAAATTAGAAATTTCAAATTTTCTAAACGGACGCAATTCACTTTGTGCAGTTTCTTTTAGCGGTTGTTTAGTCAGGTGTAGAAGATTTCTCAAAAAGTAACAAAAGGAAATAACTGAACTACATAAATCGTTATTGGCGTTCACGAACTTTTTCTATCGAAATCAAAAGCGTTAAATTAGCTAAAGTGATGAGCGTGCATATTACTCTTACTATTACCCTGTCGACTAGACATCTAACTAAACTGCCTTGCAAAACAACAAGAAGGTTTATTGCTTTAAAGTTAACGTTTTTTTTTTGCAATTGAAAAATGGATGCCGAAAATTCCATTTCAAAACGTTAAAAAAAAAAAAATAAATTACTATCTTATGAAAGACCAACAAAGAGATACAGTTTAAATAAATAAAAGAAACATTTATCTAATAATGCACGTGATCAGTGACGATCCAGAAAGGGAAAATATTTTTGAGTTAACTATGAACGAAGTGTCGAGANTAACATTATTTTTCCACACCATTAAACAATTTCTCGCTCATCTCTTGTAAACAAATTATTGATAAACACTTTCCCGTATAATTGAAAAGACTACTTTCCAATGAAAGTAGAAAATTAAAATTTTTTCAAGTGATATCAATGGCAAGAAAACCTTTATAGTAGATACAGATTAAATAAATAAAGACCAACAAAGAGATACAGTTTAAATAAATAAAAGAAACATTTATCTAATAATGCACGTGATCAGTGACGATCCAGAAAGGGAAAATATTTTTGAGTTAACTATGAACGAAGTGTCGAGAATAAAAACAATGATTATGAAGTAAATAAGTACACAATAGAAATAACAATGTGTTTGATAGTGTTAAATTAAAAGAAAATATGTTATCAGTCTCAGTCTCATTTATTATAATCAACTCTGTATCAGAGAGCGAGGTACTGGGGACATTTGACGAAAATGAATACAAAACAACGGATAAAATGGTGTTGAGTGGCTCATAGTTATAAAGTTAGTAAGGATGCTGCTCCAGAAATTTTTGGAAAGAAGTTTCTTATCGAATAGTGTAAGAAACTCAGTTCCTACCGGATGTCCCACAGCCTTTTAGCCTTTGTGTCAAAATAATATAAAGGAAACAAACATTTACATATGTAAAAAAAAGAAACCAGCACAGTTCCAAACAAAGATCATCTGTACTTATCTTTTTCATAAACTAGAGGCTTTTATACTAACAGGGGGATGACTACTGACATTAAGGATTATATAATAAGTGTATAAGTAGATTTGTAGATTTTAATTAAAGAAAAAAAGATTTATTATATTAAATGCCATCGATAATATCAAGTGCAGAAATCTATCTTAAAATATAAACCTTAGTGAGATGGAACAATTAGAAACTTCTCTATTTTTCTTGTTTCTATTAGAAATTTAATTGTCAACACGAAACCTTAGTGTAGAATGGTCGCCTCATGCAAACATAAAATCAGTAATAGTAATCTATATATATAAAAGTAAGAAGTCTTAGTTACACCATTTATAACTCAAGAACGGCTGAACCGATTTGGCTGAAATTTGGTGGGGAGGTAGCTTACAACCATGATACGGACATAGGATACTTTTTATCCCGTTCCCGTGGGAGGGAAGGAGTAGTGAAGAGGGGTTGCAATGTTTAAATGGAACATATATTATTTGTCGTCAGATTTACTTGAAACTTGGTGTTAATGGTCACTCATTTAATTTCTTAAAGACCTATCTCGACATTTTAAAAAATTCAACCTCTAAAGGAGGGGGGGGGGTAAAAAGGTGTTGCAATTTTTGTTTGGGACATACTTTATTTGTGGTTGAATCTACTTGAAACTTGGTATATATGCTGATATTATTAATTAAATGAAAAGAGGTTGCAACGTTTCCACGGGCTATTTTTTTTTTGTACTCGGATTTACTCGAAGGTTACTCATTGTTGAAATTAAGCAAATACGTGTTTTGACAATTTTTAAAAATCAATCCATAAGGACGAAATGTTGTTGCTACGTTTGTATTTGAAATCTAAGATGGATGATCTAAAACGTTGTAAGGGTGAATAGGGAATTAAAAGGTTTTATGGAGAAACAATATTAACTTCTGCGAGCGAAGCCGCTGGGAAAAGCTAGTCAGTTATAAAAATAATAGTGAGTTTTACATTAGTTACCAACTACCCGCCATTTGCAATCTTAAACCTATTATTTGCTACAATCAATGATGTACAAAAACCTAGAACCTAATGATTGATTATTTTTATTGATGTGATTACTTAAATAAGATTATATTTACATGGAATTAATCTTTGAAGTATACGTAGGTCCACATAACTACTTTTTTTGTATTAATATTAAAAAAGAAAATTTACAACACGCCATAATTACCTTTCTAACGGTTTCTCAATATATATGTATACTATTTAAATATTTGAATAGAAATCGCATTTTGACTCTTTTTATTTCATTTGGAGAGCTCATTTTAAACCAATCATAATTTTTATCAAACGTTGATAATAACTTAACAATTGATTGTAGAAAACGCATTATTTTAGTTGCGCAAACTCTAGTATCTATCTTTGTTCAAGGATTTCAGGTAAGTATGAAATCGAATTAAAGAAACACGAAAATGCATCAAACAGTCGAAAATCGATTTAAAATTCCAATACGATTCGTATTTACAAATAACATCGGCGATAGATGACGAAATTAGCTACTGTGAAATTTGGCTATTTTGCAAGAAAAAATGTCTCAGATGAATGAACCTTTTGTGAGAATTGTTAACTTAATCTCATAACTGACATTTGACAATTTATCTTATCATTACGAAAGTTTAAGAGAAAATACAGTTGGTCTAAACATATTATATGTTAGGACTGTTATTACCAATTTAATTTTTTTCGTTTAAAAGTTTTGCAAATTCAGTATCTAATAATAAGTATTTACGTGAATGAAGTTTGAATTTCTAATCTATAAAACGGTTTAATTTACTTTTTATTAGTACAAATTAACAATACAAAGCGTTCAAATATTTAAATAGGCGTCGTTTCTTATTTACATTTTACCTACATTTGCTATGTTACTAAAACTATTTATTTTTTAAACAGCACAAGAATATGACAAGCTCTGGCAATCAAACGTGTGCACATACTATGACAAAAGGCACCAACACTTACGAATCAGACAGCATGGCTTCTTATCAAAAAAGGTAAATATCGATATTCTATATTTTGCTTTAATAGAGATATTCATTGTCTTGTTTACTTACAAACAATATAAAATAGTGTACCTAATGTTATGAATTATCTGTAATCAGATTTGACAAATTCTATCACAATTGAAATTTTACCGTATGCTTTATAGACACCCTGTATATAAACGACCTCTATAACGTACAATAATATCATATGTGATCCTCGTTTGTTAGAGAGATTATTTACTTATTGACTACAAGTCTATCTCCAATGAATTTTATTTTTATTATCTTGGTTTATAAATATTAAATAAGTCTGTCGGTAATAGTTGACTGATAAATACGTAAATTGATTTCTATTAAATTAGCATTTGGTTAATGGACTCAATGAATCATGTCCACAAACGAAGTCAAAAACCAAAAGCTATTGTTATAACACAAGCTGTTTGCATCTAATAACATTATTTTTCCACACCATTAAACAATTTCTCGCTCATCTCTTGTAAACAAATTATTGATAAACACTTTCCCGTATAATTGAAAAGACTACTTTCCAATGAAAGTAGAAAATTAAAATTTTTTCAAGTGATATCAATGGCAAGAAAACCTTTATAGTTTTCTTAAAAAGTACCTATTTGTTTGTTAATTTTGATGATTTAATTGGTATCTGAGGATAGAAAATCATAAGTTCATTCGAAGATTTAGAAATGTAAAAAAGGGAACATAAGAATTTTCTTTTTCCATTACATTAATTTTATTGGATTTAGTTTAAGATATTTTTATTTGGATAATCAAACGGATTTGTTTGTAATATACCATATTTTTTAGCATTTCAGGTATCTTAGAGAATTTAAGGACTCAACTTGAGGATTTACATCAACAGATTGAACATCAAAAAACACATCGACAATAATAGCAAAACATTTATTTCGTAACATAATTTACATATTTATTTGCATAAGTGTAAACATATTGAAGACTTATTATCATAAAAGTTCAATAAAAATACATTTTTACTGTTAATAAAAATTTGTCTTGTGTGATGTGAGTTTTATCATAAATAAAAATATACCATAAAGTTTCTGACAGTCTTATAAATGAACAAATTTTTATATTTGTCTGATTTTTTGTAAGTTTTCACAATAAATAAGTACAAGAAAATACTTTGTTAACAATAAAGCGGGAGCCATTTTAGGTCCCCTTTTAAATACTTATTACATTTTAATAGCCACCTACAAGCATTAATGTAACATAAACGATATGGTACCTTTATTAGAATGTTAATAAAAGGTACCTTTAAAGGTATTCTCTGAATTTTCGTTCCGAAAAAATACAAAAATAAAATAATGACACTAAATGGCACCTAAACGTCAAAATATTATTTGATTATTTATTATTAGTTAAAAGTTTATATGTAATAGTATTTCTTTCTTCTTAGATCTCACCACAGCATGTAAAAACAAAAAGAAAATGAAACGAAAATAGTTGGTACTATTAGCTGCACTAATAATTAAACTTTAAAAATAAAACAACTACTGATCAACTAGGTAATAAAGAAACGTCTAATCTAAAGGAAATTTTTCTACAAGAAAATGGTACGTGTAATCATAAACAACAAACATTATGGCACCGCCAGGTCCCAGTCTCATTACTTTTGGCAGAAGCCCTTTGTAGAGGGCGCGAACTCTATAAACAGATACAGTCTCAACTAACAAGTGTCATCTACTATATTATTGTAACAATTTACCCTTCTTCGTTATAAACAATGATAATAGATCGGAGAGTAGATTTGTACTTTATGGTTCCTAATATAGGCTGCGGCCCTTGAATTCGAGACTTTGCCACATCGAATGGTATGTTAATACACGAAGCTAAAGTTCCTGAAACAAAACCTATTCCTATTTTCCTAAAGAATTCCTTCACTGGGTCCTACAAGTAAACATTACCCTCTTAACAACTTTTTTATTCGTTCATTTTTTGATATGTCTACCTCATATTCCGGTAAAATGTCTTTGACAGAATGGTAAAACCCAAAATAGATCATATTAAAGACACCATTGCGAGCTATTGTCGCGGTCACACCCTTATTTAGACCCTGGAATCCAATCCCCTTTTCTTTTACTATTTTTTTGGTAACAAACCACGTGCTGGGTAATTCTTTACCAACAGCTCTATTTGATTGTAAATTGACTTTGACAACTTCAAATGGATTTACCAGAATTGCTTCAGTTACACCTGCACCCAGACCGGCTAACGAAAATGTCTGAAAAGTCACACCATACCACCCTTATTTGCATGAAACTATTTATTGTTAACCACTATTTTGACCCCCAAGTAACAAGACACAAAAACAATGGAAGTAATTGAACCCATTACAACAAAAAAGGAATAATAATTTTACTATTTAAACGAAAAGCTTAAAAATTTGGTACCTACTCTACAAAATGGACGCTTAAAACATCGTGTACCATTTCAGAAGCCATATTGAAATAACTCTGTACCGCAATGTTAATCAAAAAACCTTTATATTTACAGAGCAGTCACCAAAACTTTATTAAAGCAATTTATAAGAATAAGAAAGCAAATACTGCATAATATGCTTTTTTGATGCATTGTTTTAATTATGATAAGAAACTAATGCTTATGTTTTAATTTTAGATATCTGTTTGTTTATGCCATTTTGCAAGAACTTTTGATTTATGAATATAGATCTTATCGTTAACTTTTATCAATAAAAGATAAGAATAGTATAATCTAAAAAGCGCCTATATTTTCTGAAAATATTACATAACAATTCTTTGGCGTTTTCAATTAGGTTTATATATAATAAAAAGTAGGTACCTATCAGAAATTTAAAACAATTTTAAAAAATATGTAACTTACCAAAGGCGTCGGAGTATCGGAGCCAAACATAAACAATTTTTTATATTGCTCAAAAGTAAGGAACTAAAAGAATGAATACTGTTTTTTGATTTTATAATATTTAATTAAACTAGGTGTAAATAAAACGCGTATTATTCTTCCATTAATTTTACCTTCACTGCCCTTTTAGGAGTTTCAGCTAAAATAGGAGGTAAAATTCCTTTCCAAAAGGATGTTAATCCTTCATGCCTATACATTTTTACAAAACAGTCAAATACTCCAGAGTAATAACGGGGGTCTTGGGCATTTGTTACTGCTGTTTTACTTTGTATTTGTAATCGTGTTTTTACAAGATCGAGGGGATGCATGATACAAACTTCCACAAATCCTAAAATAAGTACTGTAATACTTAATTTTAATTGAAATATTTAAATTAAACTTGCCTGCAGATCCCCCAGCAGTCACCTGCAGAGCCCCCTGTTTTATTAATTTATTGAAATCACTCATATTCACTTTCTTTTACCAAAAATCGTTTCCTTAAACAAATACTGTAACTTCACCTAAACATATATGAAATTAAGAAATTCAAATTATTGTCGTTTTCCCTCCTCAAAGGGGGGCTAGGGTGGCAACATGGTTTAAAAAAAAACAAAAAAATGACAGGAGTCAGCTGTTGATCAATCTGTCGTGAAAAGAGGTTAACTTGAAAGAGAAAATCAAAAAACAGTGAAAATGTGTACTCACCTACGGTAGGCATGAAGCAACTACTGAAGAAAATTCGTATCAACTTTATCAGCAATATTTGTTAATCGTAATCATCTTTTCACGCAAAATCACGACTGGCTCTTGTAATGAAACAAAAGTGAGGTTATAGTTGTGATCCATTCCTTTGTTGTTTTTACACATTTTTATATATTTTAGTGTTTTCGTTAAGAATGGAACACCAATTTATAAGAAATAATAAACAGAGTTATTCTTAGTTATGGTAGTAGATCAGGAAATGGGGTCACAAACGCTGGAAATTTTAAGACAAGGGGTGTGGGCTTCATTAACTGGAGGTTGGTTTTACGACCCCCATCAAACTGTTTTCTGTAATACTTTTCACTTGTATTTATGGCTTTTTCTTTTTTGCTTACCCTTCTCCATTTATCTGGTAAGTTTGCCTATATCTTCTAGCAATCTACATAGAAATGTTAACAACAGTTATTTAATTGTAGTATCTACCCCCTGACAAGTTTGTGTGGTATTGTTACTGCGGTATCGTTGCTGTTATTTTTGCAACCATTAAACTGGCTAATTATGCATTACATCATATGTATGATACCACTGAATGTATTGATGAAGTTCGAGATGAACCCCATGGAGAAAAAAGGTCAGTAGATGTTATACTAAATTATAGTATTAGTCTAAATTCATGTCGATTTTGTAGGGAAGATGAAGGCATTGAGTTACAAGTGTTATCAAAGAAGTCACCAGGAACACCAAAACTTCCAACATGTCGATCAGAAGTATCAAATGTCGAAACTTCTGCTTTGCCAAGTACAGACGTTGACAGTCTTGATTCTGAAGAATGCCAACATTTGGAACCTACATCTCAAAAACTAAGTGGGATTATTGATTTAAAGGCCGACGTCCATCGAAAAAACTCCTCTGAGAGTAGTGAGGGCCTTACAATGCATCAGTGCAGAGAAGCAGTGGCCTTAAAAAGTACCGCCCGTTCAAAATCAAAAAAATTGAGCGAAGCGAGTGCCGTTTCAACAAAAGAAGAGACAACAGTTCGTAAAAGCTCTTCAAGGAAATCAAGTAATGAATCAAAAGGGGCAGCGTCCTCCCATCATCATTCAAATGCTCATCATCAAAGTGATGGCTCAGAACAGGGAAGTCCTAAGCTATATATATGTCGAAGACATTCAAACTTTACTAATAGCAGTCTCAGTTACATTCCAACCAGTACTCACAGTGACATAAAATCTGCTGGGTCTGTAGAGTTGGGATATATTGATAAGAATCCTACTCAGGCTGTTTCTACAGAAGGATTGTACTATAAACCCTATATTACAAAAGCACCAGGGGTGCGCCGTATTCGATCAACTGCTTTGGAAGTATCTTGCCCTCCACCTTTACTCACAGTGCATCCCAACAGTTTGGAAGTAATTGGTAAGTCCTTATGTTTATTGTTTGTAAATATAAAATTTAAATTTAAAGTAAAATAGTAGCGTTTTTGTATTATTAGTAAATGTTTTTAATTCCAACAAAGAATGCTTATTACACCATAAAATATTTCTTTGCTGATGTTGGGTCTATTTTAATCTAACTTTTTCATTANGAGAACAATCAGGGGAGTCAATCTCCTCTTCTGGTCCATCTTAAGACAGACGATTGCGTGAAAATGGTGCGCACGGTCAGAATATCGTCTTCAAATGCCAGTAAAGCATACGACCCATCTCGTCCATCGAAGATGACGACTAAGTGCGACTCCAACTGCAGTTTTAGTTTATTGTCAAATAAAAGTGACGATGGGGAACAGGGAAGCGCAACATCCAAAGATGCGCTCGTTGATAATGAGAAGTCAAATTCTAGTGAGACACCTGAAATGCAGGATGCTCGAGCAGATTGTTATGCGACTGATAATGAATTTAGCGATCGGAAATTTAGTGATTCTGGCAGTAGCAGCTGTAGTGATATAAAACTTGAAGCTTGGAGTGCCGGTGATGTAGACAGGGGGTCCACCATACGGCAAAGGTCTAGGGTAAAAAAAAACAACGGGCAAATGTCAAGTAGTAATAGGTAATTTTTTTTAATTACCTATTACTACAGTATATAGATTCAAAAGTAAAAATTTGTCTTAATGTTCATCCCATTTGAGATTATAATCAATAATAACACCTAGGTACTTGCAACTTTCTACTCTATTAATACTTCTATTCAATTATACAACAGATTGTTTAGGTACATTATCACAGTAGTCGCCAAAAGTTCTTATGCCTTCGGTTTTGGATACGTTAAGTAATAACTTATTTGATGCAAGCCAAATAGTATTTTTTTTTAATTTTTCATTGATATTTTGTTGTGTATTAAGCCAAGTATCTTTTAAGACCTCTACTGTTGTATCATCAGTATATGCAACAATTAATTCATTATTCATAATTAGTAGAAGATTATTTATACATAATATAAACAAAAAAGGCCCTAGAATTGCACCTTGCGAAAAACCAGTTGTGATTGTTCTTAAACTACTTTGTTTACCTTTGTTGTATTTTTTGCTTTCTATTGAATAAATAACTTTGGATCAGATCACTTAATTATTACAAGAATTTTGTATTATGAAAAAAATTAACAATAAATTAATCAATTAACGATTTCAATTTCTCAAGTAATTGCAAATGCTTAAATAAATATTAATAGAATTAATTTAAAATTATTTATCGATGAACTTCTCTGTTGTTTTTATTTTTACTTAATTTCGTGTTAAATGGCAAAATATTTTCTTTTTCTCCTTTTCATTTCTGTGGATTGGCTATTTCATCTTTCTTAATATTCATTTCATTAATTTGGGACATTAATGAGACTGTCTCCCTACAATAGGCGAAAACGTAAAAGGAATGAAAAGTCCTCTTCCACCTCCTAGTTCTACACTGATTAGAAACCAGCATTTAAACCTTTGTCCCTATTTCGGTTCCGAAATAGTTTATCCCATTGCTGAACAGTCAGACGAACATCAGACTTCTCATGGGCCAGACTCAGATTTGGAATCGCTTGCCCAAAATTCCGACTCAGATTACGAAGAAGAGAACAATCAGGGGAGTCAATCTCCTCTTCTGGTCCATCTTAAGACAGACGATTGCGTGAAAATGGTGCGCACGGTCAGAATATCGTCTTCAAATGCCAGTAAAGCATACGACCCATCTCGTCCATCGAAGATGACGACTAAGTGCGACTCCAACTGCAGTTTTAGTTTATTGTCAAATAAAAGTGACGATGGGGAACAGGGAAGCGCAACATCCAAAGATGCGCTCGTTGATAATGAGAAGTCAAATTCTAGTGAGACACCTGAAATGCAGGATGCTCGAGCAGATTGTTATGCGACTGATAATGAATTTAGCGATCGGAAATTTAGTGATTCTGGCAGTAGCAGCTGTAGTGATATAAAACTTGAAGCTTGGAGTGCCGGTGATGTAGACAGGGGGTCCACCATACGGCAAAGGTCTAGGGTAAAAAAAAACAACGGGCAAATGTCAAGTAGTAATAGGTAATTTTTTTTAATTATAAAGTTGTAATTTTTATAATCGTTTATTGTCTTTTAACTAGTTATATAGAAAATAAGGAAGATATACAGGATTATAATGATGAGCCAAAAAGTATGAAAAGAAGAAAAGCACGTAAAAATTCAAGACTAAAATGCAATGATTGCGATAAAGTCGATACTATACGAAATCGATCCAGTGTCATTGAGCTTGATTTGGACTGGCTCTTTGACGATGGTTCAGAACACAAAAAAAGACGATCTAACGACTGGTCGAGTACTTCGGTTTCCTTAGAACACGATGTTAGTAAAGTACTGCAAGAACCTACTCCTTCCACTCGTAACTTAGGGGCCATACCAAAAAAGCGTATACCTCCAAATAGAAACTATTGTTTTGGAGATACAGTGGCCCCCAATTATATTTTGAAAAACGTTTCAGAAAACGCAAATAGACATAAGCATTCGAGACGTGTAGAGCAAAGTTCGTCTGGAAGAGGGACAACGCAATCCCTCCCCCAGAACGATAACGTCGTCGAAGGATTGGAGTGTTTGGTAGTTCCAGCAAGATCCACAAGGAGAATAAGAAAACTAAGTTCACGTCGTGGTAACGCTAGAAATTCTCGATCAAGAGGAGAAATTTACCAAGAGATACCATCGGGAGGTTCTAACGCAGAACTAAGTACCTTATTGCCGGCAACTCCCCTCTTTTCTGCCTTTTTAGCTTCAAGAAGGGATATGCCAAGCATGTGCGTTTGTGTGCCCATGGAAAGTCCCAACACTAGAAATGGTTATTTGAAAAGAAGTCATCGAGTTCACAGAAGAAGAGTCCATAGCATATCACGTGCAAACGAAAAAACAAATCGAGACATGATAATTGCAAATACCATAACTTCTGGACGAGGAACACATCGCGCAAAATCTTTCGATGACACTTCTGATGGTTCAGTTCACTGTTTTTTAGATGAATATGGGAACTGGATAACGTACACTTTTGATGGGAAAGGGGTTGGCACGGCTAACATTAGTCTCCAAATAACTCCTAACAGTAGTGGGAAGCTGCTTCCAGCTCTACTCCGACGAGAGGAAGCGCCGCCTAATGGCGGTAACGAGGGTTGGGAAAGTAACAGTACCGAATCAGTGTGCAATAGTTCGGTTTCAGTGATGCTTGAAAATAATGCAAAGACGCAAGCTATCAATAGCATGATACCTACAAACACTGCCTTACATTTGAACGCCATGCAACTGCCCGCGTTAAGAAACGGTTCTAGTCAAGAAAATTTACGGGAAGCCATCTTGGACGTGGAAATGCAATTGCCTCGCAACAAATTCCGATTTATACAGGCCCCTGACGCAACCAATAACAATTATGTGCGCATAAAATCATATTACAAGTTCAAAGTTTTCCCTTGGACATACATTAAAGTTACTTTTGATAGGTTAAAGCTACTCGCACTTCTCGATCGTAACTTGACTCTTTGTGAAACTGTCGTGTCGATAATTTTAGGCGTGTTGGTATCGATAAACGGTGCTTACCTTTTACATTTAGGATTTTACAAGGACGTGTTAGCTTTCATTTTTTGTTTCGTTGTAGCTAGTTGTCAGTATTCTCTTCTTAAAAGTGTACAACCTGACGCAGCATCTCCAATTCATGGCTTTAATCGTGTTGTGGCATATTCGAGACCGATTTATTTTTGTCTGTTTTCATACATTATTCTTTTACTTCACCTCAATTCTCAAGATGATGACACTGGATTGACTAGTAGAATTACATTAGAAATGTGTCGTGATTTCTTTTTGACTTTCTTATTATTTTTCCCCGTTATATTCTCCTTGGGATTGTTCCCTCAAGTAAACACGTTCTTAATGTATCTACTTGAACAGACAGACATGCACTTATTCGGTGGTAACGCAATGCCAAGCTTATTGTCCTCGTTTTACTGTATTTTTCGTTCCTGTTTTGCTGTGATAGTCATGTATGGGCTCGCGTACGGGAGTCTAATTGAGCCAAAACGCTCCCAACATATACTTTTCTCTATGTTTTGCGGCTGCCTAGTAGCTATTTCTTATCATTTGAGTCGAAGTGCCAGTGATCTCTCTTTAGTGTGGAATATAGTCAAAAAACATGTCTGGCCCCCTGATGTTTACAGAGAATACAAGAAGACTCCTAGAAAAAACACCGCCAAAGACCCTGGTGTCGATAACAAAATCACTGAGAAAGGAGTTTTGCCAGATACGAAGGTTGAAAAGGCGGTAGAATCTGGTGAAACATCGGAAAAATTAGTAGATCCTCTACCTCATAAACTTCAAAAGACAGTAAATGCCAGGTTGAAGAGTGATCTCATTCTGTGCAGTCTTATTGCTGTATTGGTGTTTGGTATCCATGCAAGTACAGTTTTTACCGCTCTACAACCTGAACTAGGACCAGTTTTATGGTGTATTGCCGGCGCAGTGGGATTCATTTTGCATTATATTGTACCTCAGCTTCGTAAACAACTGCCCTGGTTGTGTATTGCACGTCCCATTCTCAGGTCGCACGAATACGAACAGTATCAAGTACGAGGTCCTGCCAAAGTTATGTGGTTTGAAAGAGTAAGTCAAACTGAAATATTTTAAAGTCGAATCAAGTGAAAATAAAAAAATTAAAACTTTGTTACAGGTTTACGTTTATCTTTGTTTTTTTGAAAGGAATATTTTATATCCATTAGTTTTTTTGGCTGCACTAACAGAGGATTCGCCTGTTATAGTAGAGAAATTTGGATATCTTTTGGGATCTCTTTTTGTCGTTGTCTGTGGAATGAGATGTTTGCGTGGTTCTTATTCCTGCCAGAACTCGCAGTATCTCATTCTTACCTTTACTGTCTTATTTTTCAACTACGACTACGTATCTCTTCATACTTCTTTTCTAGTGGACTATTTTATAATGAGTTTTATCTATTACCGAGCCTACGAGTTACTTTTAAAAGTAAGTAACTTATATATTTTTGATAAGTTAAATTAAGATATATTAATATTTTAGCTTCAGTTTGTGATAACTTATATAGCTCCGTGGCAAATTACATGGGGTTCTGCATTTCATGCCTTTGCTCAGCCGTTTTCTGTGCCCCATTCAGCTATGCTGTTTCTGCAAGCTATAGTGTCAGCAATTTTATCTACTCCTTTGAATCCATTTCTCGGTAAAATTACTTAATCAAGTGATTGATTAAAAATTGATACATAGAATTTCATTAATTTCAGGGAGCGCAATTTTTTTAACGTCTTATGTTAGGCCAGTAAAATTCTGGGAACGAGATTATAACACCAGACGCGTGGATCACTCCAACACACCTCTTTCTTCACATTTAGATCGCAACCTGGGCGCAGATGACAATAATCTCAACTCGATATTCTACGAGCATTTAACCCGATCTCTGCAGCATTCGTTATGTGGGGACTTGATTCTGGGTAGATGGGGACCTGTTAATCAGGGGGATTGTTTCGTTTTAGCTTCAGATTATTTAAATTGTCTTGTTCATATAATCGAATTAGGTAATGGTTTAGTGACCTTTCAAATGAGAGGTTTGGAATTTCGTGGTACTTACTGCCAACAGAGGGAGGTAGAAGCCATCACTGAAGGAGTAGAGGAAAACGATGGTAAGTGAGTTTTTAAGAATGATGAAGTGTAATGATCGTCAAAAATGGTTGAAAGTTGTTTATTGTTTAATGAATAATTTTTAATCCCTTTTGACTTTGATTAGACGTTGTTTGAAAGAAGCTTAAGAATGAAGAATAGATTTAAGAATGTTGTTTCTTCAATAAATGGTTTGTTTATAAGGATGTTGTTGTTGTGATCCTGGACATTTACCCCATATGCTTAGCATGAATGCTGCCTTTGGTCAAAGGTGGTTGGCTTGGGAGGTTACTGCAGCCAAGTACGTACTTGAAGGTTACAGCATATCTGACAACAGCGCAGTTTCTATGTTACAAGTCTTCGATTTTAGAAAAGTACTCATAACGTATTATGTTAAGGTATTAAAGTATTAAAGAATTAACAAATTGTCCCAAATAGAATTTAGCAACTTCTATCTTGCTTTTTAGAGTATTATATTTTATACTTTAAAGTCTCCTAAATTGAATGAATGGTTAAACTCTGGATCTATTTTAAAAGCTCTGCAGCCAATGCAAGTACGCAGTTTTGCAGATTTAGATCCTGTATTTAATGTTTATATTGATGAAGATTACGATGTTTGTTCAAACGGCATGACAAAGTCAATGTTTTATCAAGTTTATGGTGATTGGATTGCATACTGTGCCGGAAGATTTGAAAAAGAAGTTGATACAAGTAACTACTCAACATTGACACTGTTGTGCTTTGCATTAAGTTTGCTTGGTAAAAATTTCAATAATAAAATAGTCGGAATTTGGTGTCACATGTTACTTTGCAGGTCGAAGAACTTTGGCTACGGTTTCCCACAACACAGTTTCTAACGTTGAATTTTTCCTTTATGGACTTCACGCCCTTTTCAAGGGCGATTTTCGAATAACATGTACAAGAGATGAATGGGTGTTTACTGACATGGATTTACTTAAAACGGTCGTGGCACCTGGTGTCCGAATGTCTTTAAAACTCCACCAGGACCATTTTATGTCCCCTGACGAATATGACGAAATGCCGGCCCTTTTCGATGCTATTTGTAAGTACGAAGAAGAACTGGTCATTTCTCACGAAGGTGATCCAGCGTGGAGGAGCGCTGTACTCAGTGGCACTCCTAGTTTATTGGCCCTGAGGTTAGTCTTAACTCCTTCATTGAAATAACTGATCAATTGTTGAAATATATTCTTTAATCTGATGTAAGACTACAATAGTTAATTTTAAATTCCCACCCATTTGAAGGCACGTTCTGGACGATGGGGTAGACGAATACAAGATTATAATGTTGAACAAGCGTCACCTAAATTTTCGCGTCATAAAAATAAACAGAGAGTGCGTCAGAGGGTTGTGGGCGGGGCAACAGCAGGAACTGATCTATCTTCGCAATCGCAATCCTGAAAGAGGTAGTATTCAAAACGCTAAACAAGCCCTTAGGAATATAATTAACTCTTCATGTGATCAACCCATTGGTTACCCCATCTATGTATCGCCATTAACGACTAGTTATGCAGAAACGAATGAACAACTCTGTGGTATTATAGGGGGATCGTTAAGTTTATCCAAAATAAGAAATACACTATTAGAAGCTTTTGGAAGGTAAAGTTTATTATCTTACAGCTTTTTTATGAGGTAACATAATTTTTAAAACTACTTAGAGTTCGCAAACATTGTCGAGAAGGATGCTCAAGTGGTGGATCTAGGGATGAAATTGGTATGGGGCAAGAAGGGGTTTACGCCATGACACCAATCACTGCCTTAACCCATCATACTGCCGGAAGCCAGTCTACAGATGGGTCACATTTTGGTGGTAGTATGGGCAGAGGGGCGAGTCTTAGCAGAACTTCTTTAGGTAAAAACAAGTAGAAATATTTAATCAAGTGGGTAATTAATTATTATTTTTTTGTACACTGAATTGTAGGTGGAAATAGGGGTAGTCTGGCATCCATGGGAAAACCTACTAGTTCTACATTAGCGAGTTTAGCCGGATTGTTCAAAGAAAGGGATGAACGCGCAGTCTCCCAACTACCTGACGGACAAAACCGTACCGACGAGAAAAGCACAAAACCGTCAGATGCGGGGGAAAAAGAAAACACGTACCAAAGAGTTAAAGTATTGATTAATTATGATGACGCATTTTTATGGATATTTCTAACTGAAATATCGTTTTAGATTATTGATCCAAATGTGGTTTATGACTGTATTAATTTGGGCAGGCGTATTGACGTGAGTTGGCCAGATGAAAATATGAGAGCTAAAGGAGGACGATCCCATTGGAGAGATTGGTTGCCTGAGACAGGAATGGAAGGACAAGTAAGTTCCTTTTTTCCGTTGATTGTAATGCGTTATTTAGCCGGAAGTGAAGTAGCTTTGTTGTTTATTGTTATGTCTTTTTAATGAAAAAGGTAGTTCATCGGTGGAGTCCCTGCCATTGGGACCCTAGTAGACGTTCTCACGTCGACAGGACGATCCTGCTAGTAAAAATAGACGACAAATACGTTCCAATTGCCGAAAGTGGTGTACAAGACTTGGGGGCCGAAGTGTAGGAAAACAATTCCACTGACAACAGTCGCATAATATATTTAATTAAGCACTAATTATCGTTAATTGAATTTTCCAAATAGCGAACTGATTCTTTTAGTTAATATTTTACATTTATACTTTTGTATTGTCGTGTTTTTCTTTTTCTCTATCGATTTAATTTATTAAGCGTACAATGACAATGTACCCGGACTTGATAATCTATTGTTGTAATTTATATGTATGTACTACTCCTCTTGTAGTATATAATTTTTAATGTAAATACAGTCGTGTAAAAATCAAAATAATTTTTCTTTTAAATAACTACTTAAAGGTGTTGTCTATATGTGCAAACTTCAACTAAAAGATTAAAAATGAGAATCATCCCTCAATTTTTCATCCCTTGAGGTGGATTTTTTTAAATTTAATTGGGACAACCAGAGGATTTACTATACCTATGTGTACACAAATTAAAATAATAAACTCAATCTCATCTTCCAAAAAATTAATAACCAAACTTCAGTAATGTTTCTCTACTTTTGAACTTTAATGAATTGCTAACCTCTTAGACCCTTTACTTAATTTACTTCTTATATAATGGTCCTACGTTTCGATAAAGTAATTGGTAATTATGGTAGAATTGTAACTGGTTGTCTATATTTGAAGGCCCAGTTTTTAAAATAATAATTTGGACATTGCAAAAAAATATTACAGAATTAAGGAAAAGTTTAAAAAAATAACGCGCGTGAGTAATTATTAAAGGTAACAATATAATTTACCGTTATTTATTATCATTTTAAATCGATTTTTTTACTGATTTAAATTACAAATTACCTAGAAAAATATATATATAAAAACCGTTTCATTTTTTGCGTATTACGTTTTACACCCCCGCAATGTTGGAATAATAATTGTTAAAGCAGATAATTGGTATTCAAATTTATGCATCATCATCATTTCCACTTATGTAATAAGCAACCTGTTTGGTAGAAGACATCATTAACAGTCTCCCACACCTATTCATATTGGAAACATACAGAGGATTAAAAGCAAACAACTCGTAATAGTAAATACATAAAGGATTGGCAGTTTTTTCACAATTATTTCATACCTAAATTCCTCTATTCAAATAAATGTTAAAAAGTAGGTAAATATTTTATTACAAAAGCTTTCATAATTTGGCTGCGTGATTGACATAAATAAATAAGCGCAGACTAAAAGAGTAAAAATTGCCATTTTATGGTACCATCAAAATTTTACTAACGATAAGTATTGTAGGTACTTGTATTGCTTTGTTCTTTTTAATGTTTTAAAATATTACCCAAGTATTAACGTTTAACAGGTAGGTTAGCAATGATTATTAGATTTAAAACATATAATGTTATGGCATATTTACAATATATATATATTTAATTCTCCTTTTTAACGATTGAGTACCCATCTTTGCATACAATTTAAGTAATTGGTAATATTTTCTACTAAAAACTAGTATGGGAAGAAAAGCTAAGCTTTTAAACTGTGGGTTAATAGGTAACTCTGTAGCCTGTACTTTTAATTTCGTAGCAGTCCTTGTATGAGCAAAGCAAACATTAATATTGCCAGTTGTTTTGTTTACTACTAATAGTAAAGTAAGACAAAGCAGCCCCTTTTGACTGTTTTGCGAAGTAAACAGTTCAAACATCATGTTACTGCTTCCTTGCAATATTATTGTCAACGGGACAAAATGAAACAGAGAAAGGCACCAGGTAGGCACAAGTCGGAAATGGTGGGGCAGATACCTCCATTGACCACCTGACGAAACTAGCAAGCAGGTAGATATAGATATAGCGAATATTACGGTGCATGTGTACGGTGGTTTAGTTTGAAATCGTGATAGCAGAGTGTGTGTTTTACTTAGTATTATTATCGTAGTAATCCGTGGTTCGAGAGTGCCGTGAGTATATTTGAAAGTGAAACTTTCCGTTTGGTTGGAAAAACTATTTTACTACTCGTGAAAAACAACACATCATCATCTTTTATCACTTGGTAGGTATGTTGCGATACTTTTTCCTCTGATATTCCCACAAACTTTTCGCCAAGGTCTGACCTTTATGTTGGTATAGAATTTGAAAAGCTTTAAATATTAAAAGCGTTCAATGATGCCTATGTTTGTGTATTTTATGAAGCTTTTTTTGCAAAATTAATTCAAGCGTGTAAATTATGTCGGCATCTTTCGAAGTATTGTTCTTCGTTCATCGCAACATTATTCGATTTTGCTGAATTAGTTACACCGGCTGTTATCGGGAAATTGAATCTGCTTTGTACTCAGGCAATTGGTACAGAGTTTGTAATTAATTTCGAAAGGCTTTATTACTTTGGAAAAATCACAGTATTCCCTATTCATTGAAAACTATCATTGTATTTTAAAATAAATGATTTGAAAGAAACTTGTCACTTTTTTGTTTGCACATTTTTTGTATGAATTTGTTGATGATTTGATATTGTTTTCCACCAAGCAAATATCTTTCAAAACAAGAATAAATAGTTGATAGTTATTAATAAATGTCTGAAAATATCGTCTACTGTTCTGAAAACTGCTCCAAACTAAAGAAACTCGTAATATCTTTTGAACAAAACGTAACACCTTTGAAAAGCTTTAACTTGCATTTATTGGATTAATATTACTTTATTATTTACACTAAAAGATGATTATGGTGAAAACCTGAAAATTGCATTAATTTCTAAAAGGGAGACTTAAAGTCCAAACTTGTGTTTTATTCTACGGTCTCATGGGGGACCTTTTTCCCTATGCATAATATTAAATTATAAATCTTTTAAGACGCATATTTTGATTTAAAGTACGTTAGTTATAAACATTATATTGAATAGAATTATGATCACAAAATTTTGAGGGACATTGAACAGTGGCAATTTATTAAATATTAAAATTGATTTATTATCAAAGGGTTTGTAGAATTAGTGATTTTCTAAAAAAAATTCTACGCAGCAAAAATTGTAACGATTGTTCCCCTAATTAAGATTAGATATTTGTTACGATAGATAATTAATATAATCTATGAAGAGTGATTAACTATTTTACCTTACCTTATTTCAAAAGCGTCTAACTCTAGCATATGTATGTAATGCAAAAATAGTAAATTTTCAAAATATATATTGAAAGGATTTATACATTATACATACAGTTGAAAAAAATTTAATTTTACGTAAATAAACACTAAAACACTCCAAATTCCTCAAAATGTTTAGTTACTTAAGAGGCCGAAAGGGAAAAGGTCCCAATAGACCACGGCCATTTTAAGCCAAAATATAGAGTATTATACTGAAATATAATATAAGCCCATACGTTTAAAATAATGTAAAAATAAAAAGATTTTGATATTAATTTTTATCTTTCAAATTGAAATCGTTTTTCATTTGAAACTCTCGTTACCATTGAGCAGTTAAAGGTACCTAATGTTTCGTGTAGGATTGTGCATCACTTATTATAATTCCTTCGAATGAAGAAACTCCCACTTGTTAGCTACTCATTCATAGAAGTATAATGACAATAACAATTTTCGATTACATTGTTCAAATAATAGGATAATACCTACACTGCTGCTTTGTCATTATAAACAACGTAACCAATTACAAAATGGCCTTAAGATTATATAATACGATTACGATTAACAGAATAATTAGCAAAGGAAAATTAAAGATAATTTCAAGATATGTCATACGATAGTAAGTACTTATTTAACTTATAATCAAGAAAATGCAAAAAAGGCCTCTTTACTTCAAAATATCTTGTTCTTATTTATTACATCAGACATCTGTCATTTTTATTAGTTCTAAGAAAGTAAATTGCTTTTTTAACATACTTACTCCATATAAGATTTGAATATTGTACAAATAACTATTTCACCAATGATGGCAAATTCTTATTAAGTACTGCGGTTCATCGCATACAATTAATTTATTTTAATTACTTCTTGTATTAATTACACTACTTCCTTTACCTAGACAAACGTTTATAAAAAGTTGTAATGGTCATCAATTGTGTAAGAAAATGATTAATTCATATAATCACTCAAGTAATTTTCTGCAAATTAGTTCTATCCGTGCGGGTTTGCTATGCTCGAATTAAGTAAATGAAATTATGACATTGTCTGATGGAATTAAAACATCAATTAAAATTAAATAATATAAAAAATAGCAGATGAATTTAGCAATTAAAAATGCACAAACAATTTAAGAAAAGTAGCCCAGATTAGGTACTTCTGGTAACCTCCTCTTCCCGGTTGTTAAGTCCTTTCGAAATCAGTTCTCCTGTTTCAATATTAATTCATATTAGGATATAGATTTTCGTGAAATAAATGATTGTTAAAAATGCAAAAACATAAATATTGTAATAGTGGTTTATGCATTGGAGTTGGTGTTGTTCAAATAACCATATCCAATCGATTTTTGATACGTCTTGAATCATACTCATTACGAATTATAATTTCACGCTTGTCAAATGAGTGGGACGGTTTTTGGCTAATCCCAAATGCCGTTATTATATGGGAAAATTCTAAATCAAGTTCAATATCGTTACGGTCCAATTACTATCTCTCTACAACGCTATATTGCCCACTGGTTCACAATTCAATGATGAAATAGTATCGGTTAGTAACCATACAGTGCAAGTGAAGTAAAAAGATACTCGAATTATCAGGATAGGTACCTTTTTTAGGGCCCTGTACGTCCTAATAAAAAACGGAACCCTTTATAGCATCAATCGTGTGTCTGTCTGTCCGTCTGTCACAGTAGTTTTACTGGACCGATTAATTTGAAATGGGGGTCATTTTTGGGGGGCCAATAGAAAATTAAAAACAAAAGTTTTGCAAACTGTACCGTATAACATATCAAATGAAAGGGCTTGTTATAAGGGTCTCAAATATATATTTTTTATAATTTTAAAGTAAATAGTTTTAAAGTTATTTAAGTTAAGAACATAGATGAAAATTGACTCTTCCGCCCCTTACCTCCGAAACTACTGAACCTAAAATTAAAAAAAAATACAGAAAATAGTTCTTTGCTTACGGATTATAGGAAAATTAATAAGAATAATATATGACGTGATAAATCTTTCAATAAAATAATAATGTAGGCACAAATCACATTTGCAGTTTGAAAGTATGGGAGAACATGTTTTTTTTCAACTACAATGTTAAGTTAGTTCTCGTGTTTGGGTTCCGTACGTCCGAATGAAAAATGGAACCCTTATGGGATCATACGTGTGTCTGTCTATTCGTTTTTTATGATAGGAGGAGACACA